AAGTATTTCATGATGGGCTATTGCTCTCACTCAATAGCTCCATCCTTTCCAGGAGGACAACTTTCTCAGGGCAGAATGGGTGCTGGGTGATCAGTGCTCCCTTCCACTAGGTTACAATGCACTTAGTACAAGCCCATGACAAGGCATCAAAACACAGAGAGGTTGGACACAATCCAAGTTGTAAACTCACTTTGAGTGCCTGATTTAACCTCTGAAGAGTCCTCCTTCACCCTTTTAGCAAGGGCTAAAAAAACCCCCAACAAGAAACCCAACCAAAAAACAATACCAAACCAAAATAAAACAAAACATCCTAAAACAAACAGAAAAGGACTACTGAGACTTTTAAAGTTAAGTCTTTAATTTTTCTGCATAAAGACAAAATGCCAAAAACGTAACACATTTCCTTATTTACAATCATCAGAAATCACATGAAAGCATGCATACTCGAACACTTAGCTTCTAAATACTACTTCTTTAAAAAGTGCTGTACAGATGTGTTCTTTGCATACACACCCTCTGTGCTCTGCGGTGTGTGTCTGAGCCACCCTTGTGCTGGGACAAGACTGATCCCCATGCCTAAGCATGCCTGGAAAGAATGTTTTGGAAGGGACTGGGAGGAGTTTCTGGGGAAGCAGGTTATTCCCACTGCAGGAGCACAACAGGCTTTCGGCCCTTGGGTACACACTGCCAGCCCCACAGCAAGGCTGCTGCGTGTCACCTCCAGCACTGCCGCAGTTCTGCGGTGGCCTTGTGAAAAGCCAAACGGAACTCCTGCAAAAATCCAATTCGCAGCTCTAACGGATATTAGCATTCCAGTACCTGCTACATAAAATGCCACAAGGACCACAAAATAATTCTTATAACTGGCACATGAGTCTAAACTCTGCTGCAGTCACAGCCCTCAGTTTTGACCTTTTGAGCACAGTGCTAGGAGAGTAAAAGAAAGGACAGCATATCTCAACAGGGTCACAACATTTAGCCTGGATATCTTGTGTCCAAGAGCAGCTTCAAACCTGCAAATATTGCTGCTCACCTCCAGTTCCTGCAGGAACAGCAGGCATGGAGCTCATCCTCTTACACTCTTATCAATAGATTGGCTCTTCAGGTCAGGCTGCAACACACATAAAAGCAAAATGCAGGTATTTAGGCTGTGCTGCTGTTCAATCAGCCACTCCCTTAAAGAGAGCGATCTGATTTTCATAAACCTTCTACCTTTCCTCTCTCTTCTCCTGCAATGCTTAGGCAAATGCTAGCTTAATATAACTTATCTCAGAGAATAGTAAATAAGCCAAACGAATGATCATCCAATCCAAAAAGCTAAGAACAGTTTGTCTTTAACAACAGAGAAAGGTTGAAATTATCTACATTCTTCTGAAGCAGTTCTTCAGGCTGGACGTACAATCCTGGTCCAGTAGAGGAAACTGGGGTCAACCTCTTGGTTTAAAGGATGGCATTCCTCAGTTTGACTTGATATTGGACCAGTTCAGTAGCGTAACATTAGCATACTCTAAGTAGCGTAATTTCCAAATGGCAACAGGAGGATTCATCAACTGAAGTGGCCTTTAAAATGATGCAGGTTATCATCTGTCAATGCAGGTAGAGCAGAAATATTCTCACAAAAGCTTTAAGGAACATCCACCATCATTGTGGCTTAACAAAATCCAAAGTTGGACACTCGAGGCAGAGCTTGCAGAAAACAATCCATCCTTAAAGATCTGGAGAAACCTAGACAAAAGGGTAGATAACTGCATTTCATAACTATATCTAGTCATCAAGAGCAAACTGTTTATTCTTTAAAGCTGTAGCGTTAGGGTAGCAGTAAATGGAAGAGAGCACTGCATATGGTGAGTTTAAAGCACAATATAAAAGGCAAAGCCATACTGTCCGTACTAAAGGGAAGTGTTACAGATAGTACGAACGCTTTGAGAATATAAGCTACTGGAAAAACAAAGAGTACTACATGCCATATGTTCCTGAAGTATTTGTCAAGGAGAAAAACCTGTCCTTCCCAAACTTTCACATCATTTTCACCTGTCATTACTAATTCCCAAAACATATTTTTCCCCTCAATTTTAATTAATACATTCCTACAATACCTTAAGTGTCCCACTGATTAAGGGGTTTTTTTCCCCTTAAAAAGCAACCAGGTACATTCAAACTTATGGACATTTAAACCAGGCTCCAAAATAGTCACATTTACTTTTCCTGTTTAAGATAGGAATTTTCTTAAAGCAAAAAGGTGGGTGGCATAACCCACTATCTGGTTTTCAGGCAGCATTTACCTTCCACAGATGGAAGTTCCTGCCATTTGAGAGTTAGAGCTCATCACACCTGAAAACCACGGTTAAAGGCATCATCCCTGTAAATATTGATCTTTGCATCCCAGGAAATCCAACGAGTTGCTCCACAGAGAGGCTATTTAGTTCACTTTCTACACTTCACATTCCAGAAAGGTATTTTTGCAGTTAGAATGAGTGATTACAAACCCACTAAGTACACACACTCCTCAGTAAAGCCTTATTTACAACAGCGACAGCTGCAAAGCAACTGAGTGTCAGCCAGCTCAGACCGACTCTCTGAAGTGTACTGTACAGAGGCATGCTTTTACCTGCACATTTCACCCTACATTGATTGCATGTATGCTGACTGTAAATTTCTTCCTCTTGCGGTGCAGACTTTACACAACTGCACCAGTTCTCCAACAGCTGATCTGCTGATCTCAGACTACATCCCTATTCTTCAAATCGTCTTCTGTCACAGGAGAAAGTCCTTCTTCTTCGACACTTCTATGTACAAAGAGAGACTAGATATTTTCAAATACTGAATTAGCAATTTAGAAAAGTGAACCCATATTAAGTCTTATTCATGCTCAAAGAACTTAAATTCAAAATCAACAGTCAATAGAAAAATTCCATTAACATAATTTCTTAGAAGTTCTACCTGCCTTTTCTTCATATTGGTAGAATTCAACATCTGAGTAGCATAAAAACAATTGTGTGCCATATTCTTAATGCCTCATTTTTAATGAGTTTTATTATGCAAAATATTCCAGTATCACTGTTAAAACGTTTATATCATAGCCCATAATGTTTCAGAGCCTGCATTAAACGCAGATCAAAGATAATCAAATTACACAAAAAAACCACTTGCTAATAAAAGCTATTTGACTCAAGGTTACTTACTACCCATTCTATTAATGTACCACAGGAATCTACACGTAAGAGCAAATTTTCATTGAAATCTACTGCTGCAAATGCAAAGCTGTGACTTTGTCACAGAAACATTAAGAGGTAGAAAAGTTGCTACTGAAATAATTAAAAACCTGGCACTTCTTATTTTGGCAATCAGATAAAACATGGGTTTTCTGGCTGAAGAGGTCAATATTTCAATTTACTAAATCTGAAGTATTAGATCTTTTCATTAAGGTGATGCATTAAATACAAAAGGATGTGTAAAATACTAATATAATAAATGAATAAAAAGAGAAATTGGTCTGCTTGAACTGAATAGTTGGATTCTGTGGCATGGTACTGCATATGAGCTACTGAGAACAGGTAAAATAAGTAGTCAGCATGAACTCACTTGGTATTTAAATTTTTTTCCTCAGTATTCCATCCTCAGTACTTGAACTTTCCCATCCCCTTTCAGAGTATTCTGACTCATGTTCTTCCAATAAACTGTTACAAAGTTTAAGCCTGCAAATGAAAAAAACCCATAAGCGTCAGTGGCTTTTTGTAGTAACCTTTAAATGCTAAATACAGCTACTCCACATTTACTCTAACACAGACTGTAATATGAGAAAATAATGACAGAATCTGACCACGCAGCATATAAATACTGGCCAAGACATCCCCAAGAAAAATAATTACAAAAAATACATAAAATATCTACGCTTATAATAAAAGCTTGGCTCGAGATACAGCAATAAAGCAACTACACTTTTAACTTGACATGCAAAAAAAATAATGAGCTGTATTTTGTACCCCTCTAGCCTGCAGTCCGTATCTCTGCAAGTTTTGCAGTCGGGAAGAAAGTTGGGTTTTGTCTGTTTCGGAATGTTCCATGCTGAAGAACAACTGGCTGGATTCAGGTCACTGCATAAAAACAAATAACTATCGTTGTTGTCAGCTACGAAACAACTTCATCTCTAAGGAGACAGAGAGGAAGCTTTCAGCTCCTAGGCCGAGGGAGTGAGAAGCTAGTAACACCCATGGGGACCAATTCTGTAAAATGCCACTGCTCTCCCCAAGACAAAGAGGGTGAAAAGGGAATTGTCGCTTCCACCATTCCTTGATGACAGAAGTGTCAGATGGAGAGTTGCACTGGAAAATGCCAAGTAAACTCAAAGAACAAAATAATCAAACAATATCACATGTTGGAGAAAATGTGAGGGGGCAGGGGGGAAGTTGTATTAAACAGTGGAGGAAAAGAAAGATAAGAAAGAAAACAAAGGGCGCCTTCACAGCACAAGCATTAAACAAAAAGAATGTCATAATCACGGAACTAATGAGGCTGGAAAAGACCTCTGAGATCATCAAGTCCAGCCTATGACCCAACACCATCACATTAGCCAGACCAGGGCACTAAGTGCCACATCCAGGTTCTCCTCAAACTCCTCCAGGGACGGTGACTCCACCACTTCCCTGGGCAGTGCATCCCAGTGCCTGAGCACCCTCTCCATGAGGAAGGGCTGCCTGAGACTCAACCTAAACCTCCCCTGATGCAGTTTCAGGCCGTGCCCTCTCATCCTGTCACTGGTTGCCCGGGAGAAGAGCCCGACCCCATCTGACTACACCCTCCCTTCAAGTAGTTGTAGAGAGTGATGAGGTCCCCCCTGAGTCTCCTCTTCTCCAGCTGAACACTCCCAGCTCCCTCAGCCTCTCCTCACAGGACTTTCCCTCCAGTCCCTTCCCCAGTCTCGTTGCTCTCCTCTGGGCCCGCTCCAGCCCCTCAATATCCTTCTTGAGGTGAGGGGCCCACAACTGCATTATGGCATTTACCTTGTTATTTCTACACCGTGTTGTACTGTCATTACTTCATCATTTTCACCAAAGGCTTCCCACTCTGAGCACTTTGAAAAAGCCTCCTGATGTCCCGATTCAGTGAGACTAAAAAGCAAATGAAAAGGCCTGACACAACAGTTGATGATGATAATTGTGACAGTAACACAGTTCCTCTTAATTCTTATGAAGATAAGGAGACAAATATCCAGAAAAAAAACACCACCACATTTGTACTCAGGTTAATGTGAAAAGTCTACTAAACTTCCCAAAACTTAAATCCTTATTTAAATATCCTGTGTTGTGCCTCCAATACTGAAGTTTCTTCACCTTTTCAGTGAATCCTAGTAAATATTTGCTATCATACAACACAATTATTCTGATTTCCTTTCCTCATTAAATTGCACACGCATTTAGATAAAATTAAAGCTATTAACAACTGGAGGGATAAAACACAGTTGTATTGCAAAAGTCGGTTCATATTATTAATGAATCTCCATATGGAGAATAATTTCATACCTTTCCAGTGTGTGGTACATATGCACGTACTGGTTTTTGCTCTTTGAAACCACTGAGGATTCGGAATTGTTTCTTCTTCTGCGTTTCCATACAGGAGAAGAATCAGGGGAAAAGGAACTAGAAAAGAAAGACAAGGTTTTGCACATGCATTTTTCATCTGTATTTAAATGCTTACCAGAGTTCTGCAAAATAATGGCACATGCCATGCAGGAAGACTTGTTTGGGCTTGGGCTTTTTTATTTTGAGATATGATTCTTCAGTCACTGAAGGACCCAGAGAAAATGGCTCAAATGTTGGTAACCACTCCATTGTATTTTGGAAAGCGAACCCCATCACAATGGCAGAAGAATCTTGGAAGCAGAACCCTTTTCAGCTCTACACGCATGCCCTCAGATGAAGATACCTCAGTGAACAGAGAAGAGCACAAGTTGCTTCACTGCTAGTCTCCCTGCTGTTCTGCAGACAGGTATAATAAATAAAGAATGGTCACTCTTGCTTTTGAAAAAGGTATCCTACTTTCAGCACTTACCAACAGTGGTTAAAGAAACTTCAGTACTCCACTGTATAAACAGAGAAGCTGAAAAAATCCTGCCTTTATCTGCCATTAATCATGCAATTCAGTAACATTAGTAATTTCTCCTGCTCTGTACCAGGGATGGATTACATTCAGCAGCAAAAGTGCCAAACTCCAAAGCTGAGCATTAACTGCCCTCCCTCATTAAACATTTCCTACAAAAAAATGACAGCATCAACAAGTATTGAATTAGTTCAACAGCAGACCATGGAAGTTTTATCTCATACCTCTCCAGCGTGTCGTCAGTCTGTATGCATTCATCTTCACACTCATTTCTCTTTTGCTTATCATCAAATACAAAGGAGCAAGAAACATCCTGATCTTTGCAGAACCACTCCTGGGAACTGCTTGATGGTTCTATACTACTGAGAACAGGAAGAAAAAAAAGACTTAAAATACTACCCAACTGGCTTACTGCTTCAAGCAGAAGACAGTTAAGCTCCAGCAATAATTAACATTTCATCTCGCATGACATCCAAATAGTGCCAACAGCTGCAGCTTCCACCATAGGGCAATTACAACACAGCTAAAACTATTTACACAAGGCAGTTTCAAAGCTAAAAGAATTCTATTCAATCTTTTCCTCCCAATTTACTAGTCCAAATCTTGTAAAGGTGGCATCAATTAGCAGAGCTGGCTTTGTTACAGAAATTCAAAGTTCTGAAAAGGATAAAAAAAGTTTCGGTCACAGCTGGCACTCTCCTGCAGAGAGCACAGAAATCACTAATCTCTATATTTCTCATGTATAACAACATACTGGTATTCCAGGAGAAAGGCAGTTCCACTGACATCAGAAAAAAGATAGAAAGGTTAGGAAGGTAAAGGAATAGTAATGATGAATTTCTGCTTATGCCAACCTCTTTCTAGAAAAATAATTTTCCTTGCGCTCACCAGTGTAAACACAGAAGAGACAGAGTGTACTTCCTCCCCAAAGTGCCTTACTGGAGATGGATTCAGACTAAACATTGAGAACATCTTGAAGACTAACAGAATTCAAAAGGAAAACAAGGCATTCAAGGAGACTGATATCTAAGTCTGATCTCTCTTGCTCCCAGTTAGGAACGCTCTGTCAGAAATACAGAGTCCTGTGAAGCAAGAGACATGCACTGACAATTCACCCATACACACACTGGCTGCAGATCCCAGGTCTCTTCCGCAGGAGGATCCCAGGCGTGCAGCGCTATCTTCCACAGCCTGATCTGCTGGTCCCAGGATCTACGGCTGTACTTCTTAAATTTGTTGGGCGTTCTAGGATGAACTCCTGGTATTCGTTGATTCCTGTAAATACACAATATCACTTACTATTTCAGAATATGATTTTTGTTCTAAAAAAAAAAAAAATCCTTGGTCCATAAGGTTACGTATTAGTGGTGTAATAAATCAATGTATCGTAAAACATTGCCAAAAATAGACCAGGCAAGCAGCAACTAACAATAACATGCTGAATATTGTGTCCAGTCAGCTCAGGAGAGACGGGAAACTCCGTGAGAGAGTCCAGCGCAGCCACAGAGATGATGAAGGGAGTGGAACATCTCCCTTATGAGGAAAGGCTGAAGGAGCTGGGTCTCTTTAGCTTAGAATCATAGAATCATAGAACAATTCAGGCTGGAAAAGACCGTTGGGATCATCGAGTCCAACCATTAACTCTACACTACAAGTTCACCCCTAAACCATATCACTCAACACCACATCTAAGCAACGCTTAAACACATCCAGGGATGGAAAATCAACCACCTCCCGAGGCAGTCTGCTCCAGTGTCTGACCACTCTTTCTGTGAAGAATTTCTTCCTAATGTCCAGCCTAAACTTGCCCTGTTGCAACTTGAAAGCTTGAAGAAGAGGAGGCTGAGGGGTGATCTTATTAATGTTTATAAATATGTCAAGGGTGAGTGTCAGAAGGATGGAGCCAGGCTCTTCTCAGTGATGTCCAATGACAGGACACGGGGCAATGGGTACAAGCTGGAACACAGGAGGTTCTGCAAAAATATTAGAAAAAACTTTTTCACTGTGAGGGTGACAGAGCCCTGGCACAGGCTGCCCAGGGAGGTTGTGGAGTCTCCTTCTTCGGAGACGTTCAAAACCCGCCTGCATGCGTTCTTGTGCGATCTACTGCTCTGCCAGGGGGGTTGGACTAGATGATCTTTTGAGGTCCCCTTCCAACCCCTGACAATCTGGGATTCTGTGAATTAGGCCAGAGGTTTATCCAGTCCAGCGCTCTGACAGCTGCCAAAAGCAGATGTCTACTGCCTACTGACAAATATCAAAGAGAAGCAGCATAACTCTTACCCCTTCAACAGTATCCCTGCCTCCATCTATTTCTCTCAGTCTTTCTGAGTCAGGTGGAGTTTCTTTGTATTTAGTAGCATACTGAGTCTGGCGGGGATGGAGTTAACTTCCTTTCCTGTAGTGCTGTGTTTTGGATCTATGGCTAAACCAGTGCTGATAACCCACCGATTTTTGGCTATTGCTGAACAGCACTTGCACAGCTTCAAGGTCTTCACTTTTTCCCCACTCTCTCTCATCCCCTCCTGAAGTCACTAAGTGGGGGCTAAACAAAAAGTTAAGCAGGGAAACTGCTGGGACAGCAGACTCTGATTACCCACGGAGAGATTCCACACCATATAATGTCAGGCTCAGCAGTGAAAAAAACACAGGGCAGAAGAAGAAGTGGAGGCATCTTCCAAAATTGTCACTCTTCAGAGACTGCTTGTGGGAGGTAGTGAGCAACTGCACTTGCATTACTTGGTTTTCTTCCCCTTTCTCTCCTATTACACTGCCCTTAACTGAATCCATCAGTTTTCTCTATTTTGCTCTTATTCCTTGCCCTTCTCACCAGGGAACAGGAAGGAGTAAGTAACTGTGTGGGTACTTGGCTGCTGGCAGTACTTGTCAGTGCTGGCTGCTGGCAGTCAAACCACAAGTATCTTCACCTAACTTTTATTCCACCACCATCCACGCATTATTACAACGGGGATGGCCGCAATTCTAAACAGCATTTGGGTTTTTTTGGAGCATAGAAAACAAGGTATCCCTGCTCTTTGGGTAAAATGTAAATTTCACTGAATCTGCACTGGGCAGACACTGTAACAACGTTGTCCAGGATCACCCCATGGCTGGAAGTGCTGTTGCTCAGGGGATGTCCCAAACCCAGATCTTGCCCACCACACATTCCTGGGGAGCTCCCTCAAGCTGTGTTTGAGTACAAAATAATCCTGTTTATAGTCCTACCATACTGGAGTCAGCTTTATGCATAGAACTGACAGAAAGCTGGCAACTCTAAGTAGCGATCCATACTGAGAAAACCACCTCAAAAACAGTAACCCTCAAAATGAAAAAAACACCCACAACACAAAACAAAGAAACAAGAAAACAAATGCAAATCCACACACCAGTACAGATTAGCTCCTGAATCTTGACAGCTCTGCAATAAGCAGAGGGGGCTGGTTAAGAAATCTTGATTTAAGTGCCACAATTCACAGATTCTGAAGCCCAAAGCAGAATGACAGCAAATGGAAGAAACCGAGGTTTTGATTTGTTAGTTATTGATGAATCGTTGAAGACTGCTTTCCCTTACCAATACTCAAATGCAAGGCTTTATTCAGTCCTCAAAGTTCTGATTTCCTGGTATCGGTAACCTCACATTAGCCTAGTAACACAGTCACCAGAACCATCGCAGGAAGCAGATTAATACAGAACTTATTTAAAGTATATTTGCCACTAGCAACAGCAATACACAAAGAGAACACTTAGCTTTAAATTTTCCTATCTAAATTTGCTCGTATGCAGAAACAGCTGGCTTCTCCAATAAAAAATAATCGGTTTATGTTTCTTCACTTACTGTTCATATAATTTTCAGAGAATTAAAGCTGTGTGCTGATCTACACACATAGAGCAAGAAAAACATAAGAGATTATTTGGAAATGCGCAACACAATGCAACTTACTTTGGAACTTCTTTAATGTATCTGTCGTATGCAAGGGTATTCTTTCCAAAATTTATCTGTTTTTGTCTTCTCCTCAGAACCACTTCATCTGTTTCCCTTTCAGATGGATTAGCAGAATCACTAGAAACAGAACTTAAAAATAAAAAACAGAATTAAGTTGAAAGAAACTTTACAGATTTACAAGTTATATAAACACATACTCTAGAGCTACATTTATTCTTAGTCTGATAGACACAGAGCACAACTCTTACTTCACTAGTTTACAGACGTGAAAGTTGTGTTAACCAAATGAATCACTACAAAAGCAGATTCTGCAAGTTCATGCAATTGCTTGGTTTTGTAACAAGTAAACACACATGTGGGGGTAACTGGTGCTGGACGTGCCTTACTACAAGTATATCCAGTTCTACAAGCAAGTCAAATGATACATCATTATTGCATACAGGCGTAACAACCTCCTCATACCAAAAGCTTAAACTGAGTAAAACAAAGATGGATAATATAAAGGAGGGTAGTTTTAATGATCTATTAGCCATTTCTCTCTCCAAGCCTCGATAGCTGGTTTTCACTTTTTCTTTCACTATTCCAGTATTTTCTTTTACATAAAGTTTTAATGAATATGCAATTTAAGCTGAAAAAGTGACTGTGAAATGATCACAGAAGTAGCTTTTGAGATACGACTTCTCAGCGCTACTCTCTCCTTACAGCTTCCTTCAGGCTTGATATGAAACCGCCCAGTTGTGTTTCAAATCTTAATCAATGCATGTAAAGTAGTTGGAGATCATCAGATGGGGATTGTTAAAACCAACACAACAATAATTAATAGTTGTTCAATACCTACTTCATATTTTTTTTATGTGATGTCCTCATTGTTTTGCCTTCTTCAATTCTCCTTTCCCAGCCAGGGCAACTAGAAAGAGGCCTAGAATGTTCTAGTGTTGTAGAGCTGGAAAATAACAAGAACTCAACATGAACATTTGTTGTTCATAGCATATTTAATGAACAAAAACTTCAACAGCAGACAAAAACAGCTCCACAACTGTAACACCATGGGCATGCCCTTACTCTATTTTAGTTCAAAGTAAAACAAACTAAGACATTTCAGCTCAAGTCACCTTCAGTAGTAAAAGTATCAGTTTTACTTTGCAGGGAAAGAAAATGATCAGGAAGTGAATTTCACATCAGAACACAAACCTGACAACCTCTTAAGATACTCCCAGATCAGCCAATACAAATCCTCTCTACTACTTGAGGACCTTCTCAATACTGCAATTTTACAAAGCACAATTCATCAAAGTACTTGAGGTCAAAATCAGGCTAGTCGTTGTTCTCTGTGATCAGCTAAGGACTTTCTGAAGGACCAGGGAGATGCTTAAGAAGTAGAAAAATACCCATCACATGAGCAGAACTAATATTTTGTCAGACCTCAACGTAATATCCCAGACACCAATGTCAGATTCCAACGTAATCATTTCAAGAATGTAAACTCCGCCGTATAAAGCTAAAAAAAGTGAGTCAGGAACCCCTCTTACTTAAATAGCCAGCTGCATCACTGATGTTCTCTGAGCAGAGAAACACTTACCAGGCTCCTCATTAACTTAAAAATAGAATAAATGAAAACTGTAATGCTGTGATATTCTGAAGAACGGAAAACTTCCCTTTTCAGTCTGTCCATTTCTTTCAATGTTAATGCCTTGACATTTAACTTAAGTAATATAGAAGTAGATTTAGCTTATAGTCTTACTCTCCTAAAAGGTTTCACATCAACAGATAAAATTACCACCCACGCCACCAATGTCATTTTAATACGACAGAGATTCCACTCTCTGAAGGAACATACCTACTCAGCAAGAGAAACAAAATGCTGTTAGCACATCCAGTTTCACCCACTACCATAACACACTGTTAGTACTTTTTATGACAGAGTCAAAGACTTAGAAAACACTCCTGAATAGAAGGGCCTTCCTAAGCTCTTCAAAAGATCAATTTGTTTACTGAAGCAATATTACACATGCCATCAGAAATACAACTGTATTCATACAATGTAATACTCAGATGTATGAAACATATATATATTAGAAAAAAGTTTTCATGTGACTGTAGAGAAATATTTCATCTCTTCTAACTTACATTCTACTCAGTTTTCTGCATGTATCCAAGCACTCACCACTCTTCTAACTTCCTGTCAGACGTTAAGATATCAGCCTCAACTTCTTCCTTCACCTTAAGTCTTTTGTCTAGAATATCCACAAGCAAAGCAAAATACTGCTAGAATTACCTACCTACAAAATTTAATCTCATCACCCTTAGTACTGGACTACAAAAGACAAGGTATTTACTAAAAACCGTAATATAGCTGAAATATACTGAGTGCACTCTCAAGTGAAAACACACACCATCTTCTCACATTTAGCAATAAGGACGGGTGAGCAAAGCATAACAAGGAACTGCATATTGCTTCAATGGGAATTTTATACTAATATTGAAAACTTCAGCAACAAACAGCTTAAACTGCTGCCCCACTACATACCATTTCTCTCTTTCATATGGAATACCTGTGAATATTATGGTTTGTATTTCAATTAGACAAACTGAATGGTCTACTCTTGCATAATGCAGACATTACTTGCTAACTCTGTGCTACTTTAGAAAACCTTTAATTTAATCACATCCAGGGTTTTATTTGATTCCTAAAGAAAACTGTGCAGCAAAGTGAAGATTTAAACAAACTTTACATTTACTCCTTACCTCTCCAGCCAGTGGCCTAAATGTCCACATTGATATTCATCAAACACTGAAGAATCTGAATCATTCCAGCTTCTACATTCCTGTTCTTGATGCCAGCAGTTTGGATGTTGCACAGAACTAGAAAAAAAGAATTTTTGTAAGAATTCAAGTCACTGCTAGCCACTGAACATTGCCTACACAAACTAAATATGGGCACTCTGAGTATCATCACTTATAGTTACAAAATGCTGATCTGGTGTACAGATAGGTGATTTGTATCAACTTACTCAGACAACAGCAACTTAAAGGTGCAAGACAACGCGATTACCGAGAAAAGGTCTTTGACTAATGCAATTAAGCATCAGAATTTTAAAATAAAATATTAGTATTTAGATAACCAAAAGTGTATTGTTTCCTTACTTGAAAAAAAAATCCAACAAAAAACACCAAAAAAATCCTGACACTGTGACCAGTGTTTATGGAACTGCTGACATGTGCCAACATTCACAGACTGTCCTCTGTCAGCCATGCATTATTTGACATTTACATACCATTATATCCAGTACTACTTGTGGAAGAGATAAATACAGAAAAAACACTTCAAGCACAAGCAACTAGCACGTCAAAGGAGAAGTAGGTCAAACGCTTCTGTGCAAAGAGCTGTACACAGGAAATCCTTCACCAGACACTGCTGATAGTCCCTACAAGTAACCACGGGACAAAGAGCTTCCAACAGACAGACAACCAGAGTTTGCTACATCTTATCTACGGAGTTATCTACATTTTCCTCCGCAGTTCTGGTGGCTTTGACATCCTAAATGACACATTACTAAACAAAACACTGTCACAGTGTCTATTTAACATCAGACCTGGCAGATCCAGCACCACCACCCGCCCCAGGCTGCAGCTCCACGCCGTAAACACACCGCTCTGCTGCAAACCCCAACATGCTGTGCCGTGTGGGCAAGGTCTCCGTGCTCTTCAGGCCAGCAAGTAAGAGGGAAAGAAGGTAGCTATTTCTCCTTTTAATTCTAGATTAATAACCCTTGCTTTCTTTCCCTTCCTCCCCCACCCTGACCGGCTTTGGGAGTTTCCAGCTCCCAGAAGGCTCAAAGTCACCAACGCATGGCACAAACAGCTCCCTCCGAATCACGGATCTAGGCAAAAGGAGGCTTTCGACACATTCTTCGCTTTTTTGCAAAAAATCAGATACACATAAAACCCTTCTCTAACCACCCTCAACAAACAATTACTCAAGGCCTTCACAGAAACAAGGCACGGGGCGAACACCGCACCGAGCACCTCTCTGCAGGCCTAAG